ACCAATTCATCCATTATTGTGACCCATGTCAGAGAACGGGTCGACCTAGTCGAACTTCAACAATGCCATTGGTACCAATTCTGGCTCAAGTACCTTTTAAAAAATAGCAAATTAATTTTACAGGACCAATTACATCAACCTCGAGAAATGGAAAAAAATGGTATATATTAGTAGCAATGGATTACGTAACAAAATGGGCCAAAGCTGTAGCTACAAAAATTGATAGTGTAAGTGCAGTAGCAACCTTTTTGTATGAAAATATTATTATATAGTTTGGTTAGTGATCAAGAAACTCATTTTATAAATAGTACAATCAAAGCACTCACAGCTAAATATGAAATAAAACATCGGAAGACTACACTGTATCATCTTAGAGCCAATGGACAAACAAAAAAGACTAATGGAATTTTATATAAAATCTTAACAAAAACAGTTTCAAGAGCAGGAACAGATTGGGACACTAAGTTGTTCGCAACTTTATGGGCATACCATATTGCGTATAAAGTTACTACCAATGCTACCCCTTTCTAATTGGTTTATGGCCAAGAAGTAATATTACATATTGAATTGGAAGTCCAAAGTTTACAAATTGCTATAGATACTAGATTGGGAGATCAGGATTCATTATGGCACTGTTTAGAAGAATTGAAAAAATTAGATGAAACTAAAGCCAATACATTAATGATCATAGAAAGTATATAAAAACGAAAGAAGACTTATTATGATAGTAAGCTTAGACCAAAGGCTTTTATGCCAAATGATTTGGTACTTCTTTATGATAGTCGATTTAAAAAATTTCCAGGAAAAATTCATGTTTGATGGCATGGACCATATCAAGTTATTGACGGATTTCCAAATGGTTCCATGCAATTGGAAGATTTTATGGATACTAAATTTACAACGTGGGTCATTGGCAATCAACTTAAATTTTATTATACATAAATCCGTAATGGATTTTTTGTTCCAAAAAGGGGTGGGGTAAATAATGATGATTATAAGGTATTTCATCATGAAAAATCGTGGAAAATAAGTGAGAGTCGATCCAATTGATTGGACCATAGTAAGAAGTAGGAGGAGGGCTCTTGACAAGCATCATATTTTCTTTTGTGGTTAAGGAGAAGATGGCGAACATGGTGTCTGAGAAAACAAGGTTAGAGACCGATTCGAAGGAACGGCAAGAACGGCTGTAAGTAGAGGTTGTGATGTTGCAGACTAAACTAGCTGCATTAGCAAAAGAGGCCAATAATTTAGTGTGGGCCAATACGCCAGTTTCAACAACAACACCTTCAGAGATACCTTTGAAATTGACAAAAGAATGACAAAAGATGTTAGAGGAGCACGACAACCAAATTGCCCGACATGAGTCTAAGGTACGGGAATTGGATTTGTTGAATGAAGATCTAATGGCACGTTTGGATAGAGAACCCTCGAACATTGAGGCAGATGATGAAGATGTAAAGAAGAGAAGGTTACTAATCCAAAGGGTGGTAAGCCAACGCCATTGACTGAAGAAGCCAACAGTACTATGTCTATATAAGTTGAGGCTAAATAATGTTTGCGAAGACACTGCATAGATAGGAGTGGGCTATGTAGAATAGGCAAATAAACTTTGTTGTAAGTTACTGATTGGTTATTGATAACCTTGAAAATTAGACTGATGGTTAGGCAGTTTAGTTGGTAACAGTAGGTTGTTAGTGGAATAAATAGTTAAGAATTCAAAGGGTCATAACCTTTGAAATCTGCTAGCCGACGATCCATCTTTTGGTAGGATAAAGAGGTTGAGGAAAGGAAGATCGGGGCCAGACTGTGATAGTCGTAAGCCGGGGCAAGCTAGGTGCTACCTCTTTTTGTTTCTTTATTGTTGGCGAGTAATGGATAGTTTCTAAATACTGAGAAGTTAGTCTGGAGTACTAGACTGTGATAGTCATAAGTTGGGGCAAGCTTGGTGCTACCTCTTTTTGTTTCTTTGTTATTGACGAGTAATAGTTAGTTTCTGAATATTGAGAAGTTAGTCTGGACTGCCAGACTATGATAATTGTAAGCCAAGATATTGAATTCTGTGTGATGAATTGAGAAAGTGAAAACAATAGATAAGCTAGAGATCAATAATTGAATATATATAAACCACAAAGAGAGTAAGTGGGAGATGAATGGATAAAAATATGGAAGTTTTGTTGAATTGATAGTCATAGAATGGATTATGTGTTGAATTAAGATGGAAGTAATAAGCCTTGGTGTTTTGTAGTTTGATAATTGATTTCAAATAGCTCGAATATAGTCAATTGTAACACTAACAGACCTAATTCATATAACCAGTCTTTTCCCGTGTTCGAATCCACCTCTATTAGTTCAATTGCTTTGGTATATTGAAGCTTGAAGACAATGAGAACAACACTAGTAAAAAGATGCAAGAAAAGACATGGCTTGAGTTTTGATAATATATTTTTTATATTTTAATAGAAATACAAGATTTTTTTAATTTTTTAATTTTTTTATTAACAATAACCATTCTATTTTCTTTTAATATCATATTTTCTTTTTATTTGTTTATTTTTTTCTTTTAGCTATACAAGAGAGTATTATATTTTTAAGATTTAATTCTTATTTATATTCTTATATATATACATACACCACAATATTCTTTATAAAAAAATTGGTTTAGTGTAAAAATATTATCTTTGTTTTAGTATCTTGTAAATTATGTTATGTAATGATTAATTTGGTCCTAATACAAATATTAACTTTATTATCCAAATTTTAAAGTAATATTAATAACAACTAATTCTTAGCATAAGCTACTATATAAATGTTTTTTTTATATAATTTGAATAAATTAAGTTCTATCTTTGAAATGACTTCTTTGCTTATTTTGTTAGCAAAAAGGTCAAATTTAAAATAGAAGCAATTTTTTAATTAAAATATATTAAAAATAATCTATTGATATATTTAACTTAAATATTACAAAAATGAAGACATAATACTTTCTAAAGACCTTAAAATATAATTTAAAATTTATTAAAAAATATCATATATATTTTCTATTATAATAGTGGTGCTACTATATATTCAATATAATATTAAACATATTGATTAAAATTAGAAATACATATATATATATATATATATATATATATATATATATATATATGCATATTTTAATCTAATAAAAATATGTATTTATTAGAAACTTATATATATATATATATATATATTTATTTATATATATATATATTTATTTATATATATATATATTTATTTTTATATATATATATTTATTTATATATATATATTTATTTATATATATACATATTTATTTATATATATATATATATTTATTTATATATATATATTTATTTATATATATATATTTATTTATATATATATTTATATATGTATTTATATATATATATATATATATAGATATATATAATTTTTTTAAAAAAACACAACACAAACTAAAAGCAAAAAATCTATGTAGTTGCATTTTACATATTTTTTTGTTATGTTTTTAGGATATTGCTAATGCCACCACATTTTGCTATTGCCAGCACATCTTGCCACCCACTCAACATATTTATTTATTTAGTTTTTTATTTTTTATTTTTTATTATTTTCAATTAAAACATTTATAGCTTTATTCTACAAAGTGAGTAATGTTCAATTCAATTTTTTTGACTGGAATAAAAAAAATCAAATATACAGATTGAGAAGATTGCAAATTTTAGTGATAGTAGCAAGAGCTCTATTTGCATTTGTAATATTCTATTTTTATTGCATATATAAGTATAATTATCATTTTTTAATTAATTTTTTTAAAAAATATTTTAGATTTTTAGATTTCTATAAAAATATATTTGTAAGATTTTTTATGTGTTTTTTGAATTGTAGTTGTTTAATATAGATTATTTTATATCAATAAGTTATTTCTTTTATATTACTTCTAAAATGAGCAAGGATTGTTAATATTCTTGATTAAATAATTAATTTTAAGCATATTTATTTTTTATTATTACAGAAGTTTTGTGATAGAATAACTTAAATATGAATAAATGTTGCTGGATTAATTTTCTTTTGTATTTTTACAAGAATTCCAAGATAGCTTTTGCAAAATCAATCAATTGACATTGTATATTAATTGTTTATTATGACATATTTAACTTAAAATTTTAATTCTCATGGTTATCAAATTCAACATTGCTGTTGGATCTTACATTATGATTCAAATTGGTATTGGAATCTAATTTAATATTAAAACATTATTGCATATTGATACATCGTTTACATAGCATCTTTTACAATAAAATACATAATCAACCACTACACTACATTCAACTGTTAATTGTTCTAATATTAGAAAAGAAACTTGAGGTTTAGAATTTGAATTTTGCAGTTCAATTAAAAAAATTATGGTTTCATAGCCAAGGTTAGGAATTTAGGGTTTGAGGTTCTAAGTTGAGGTGTAGAGCTTAGGATCAACTCTCATGTTCAGGGTTTAGAGCTCAGCCCTCTCATGTTAAGGATTTCAACTCTCATGGTTAGGGTTTAAGAATGTGGACAGTAGAATCCAGACCGCTGAAATTAGTAACTAGCTACCAGATCTCGCTGGCTTCAAAGCACTAGATTATAAGAAAATGGCTGAAAGTTAGCGTTACGAATCGGATTGTCGGCATCGCAGAAACGAAAAGTGCGGAGCCACAACACCGCATTTATTGTCCACTCCAACCGAATCATTCATCAAAGCTCAGAAAACCAGGTCACCAGGCTTCGAATTGCCGTCTGCATCATCGCATGGCGTCACCGCGTCTAGAGCCTGGCCTCTTGATGCGGCACTGCCATAAAGATCCTGGTCGCAGGCCATGCCGCAGCAGAAGAGGATGATATGCAGCGGCCATAATTGCTTTAGCAATTGGGTTTCTCAGAATCGACACCCACGATATGGGGATGCGTTCAGAGCTGGGTGGAACTTCAGTCGGATCTGAGAGACACAAAGACGGTAATCGAAGCAGGATTGTGCTGACGCGATGGTTCTGGACGATTCATTAGAAACTGAACTATCGCTGATTGATCCACAGCCCCTTTGTTCACAACCATACATAAACCTTTATTTAATAAGAGCTGTTGTACAATAATCACTCCGGTCCATACCATGATGCACGATTGCAACCACGGACAAGCCACAATCTATAGTCTCGGAGCTTCGACGACGTACATGTACTGTGCTAGTAGCACTCTGCTACGCTCCTTGCCGTGTAGGACCTCAACTGGCTTATTTCAAAAAGTTTCCTGGGAGCATAATTTTCGGCTGGTTTGCTCACTACCGGTAATGGCGGTTTAGAGCCGACATTGCCTTTGTTTGGATACTTCCTGCGCAAGAGCTCTAGCCGCACATACTCACGCCCTCTCATACAACTGAACTCAGGAACTGTTCAATAATCTACCAGATTCATGGAGAGGTGAAAGAAACGAAAACATGAAGATCAACTACAACAACATCCGCAAATGTAGGTCACACATGAATGATGTGTGGACTGGACGGCTCAGTATTGGTAGATCAGATTTGGATAGAATGGAATAGCTGCAATTTGAACCTCAAACTTTTGATGTAGGCTTCGTGGCAGGTACCCACACAAGGTCACCCTCAACGGTCCAATGGCAAGCTTCTGCGCCATTTGGGACGTTAAGTGCCGCAAATGCAGGATGCGACGACGCCCACAGACTTGTATCCAGATGACATATGCCAACGGCGTGGATCGTGTAATCGGAAGGGGCATCAACCTTGAGCGACGCCTCGATCACCTTCGTCCTCCTCACAGCATGACAGTAGTAAGCTTGCGCCGGGAACATTATGTTGTGACAAACAACGATGTGTGCAGCTTGCTCGATAGAGCTGGTGTGGAAGTCTACGATCGTCACCGGGGCCTTGTGAGTTGGCGGCGCCTTGGGGGCGCCAATCGTGGCCAGCAGCTGAACGTTTGATCCCATTTGCTTTGCAACGAAATCGCTCATTGCTTCTAGGGAGGTTAGGCAAGCGCGTGCTTCTCCGGGAAGCGCTGGACTCTCACAGAGATAAGCACTGGTTGCAATCATCGCTGCCTGCTTCGACCTGCGATCAACACTAAAAATGTCGAAAATAGCAGGAAGGTTGGGCACTGTCAGGGCGGGTATTAGTCTCGCATCTTCGTCATTGAGGAATGGGCGCAGAGGAATGCTGTCTCGAAGATTGGAATCCAAATTCATCTTCTCTCCAACCACGAGAGCGGGTTCAACAAAGAAATGTTGGAAATCATTGATTGTCTTAATACCCTCCTGTCGAGAGATTGATCCTACGGTCTCAACAGTGCCCATGACGTGGACGAAGTAATCTAGGTCTGCCTCGCAAGCCACGCCAGTTTCTTTACAAAGCTGCGTCAGAATCTCTGAGATGGGCTTCTGGAAATGTGTAACTTCTTGCTGTGATTCCAAGGGCCTCGTTGCCAAGACAGCATCGATCTGCTAAAGTCCATGAAATTCATACAGCTCAGTGAGAACTCGAATGGATAATTGCCAGAAAACTCACCGTTCAGCTCAAGATAAATTACATGTGGAATACTGAGTGGTACTAACATACCACGCTGGTACATCCGATCAGCAAGGCTATCAGAAACATGAATACTGGTACACCCTCCATATCTGAACTTTTGGCGTGGATAGATGCTCGAGCACCTCTGCATGTGCTGAGACACTCCAGAGACCTACGACAAAACCAACAAAAATATACGCAGATGGAAAATTTGTAAGCTGAAGCTTCAGGACATCGAGCGACAAAGTTGAATTGTGTGATACCAAGGGTGAACAAGGTTGTATATGTATCCCCTGGGGAGTGTAATGATTGCTGTCTCCCATTTTACTAACGTTTCCACGCCACTCAATGATGAGCACTTCTTCGTGTTCATGCATGGGTTGCGATACATAGCCGGAACGCTTTGGATGATTCCAAAGTGTGGTCACACCGCAACAACTTGCACAGTATGATTGTCGCAGAGGTCGCTTTCAGCGAGGTCTTTATTTGCTGACCATTCACGTTGTGATCGCCAGCATTATGGACAACTTGTTCCACTGTACTGTTGAGTAACTGGGGGTTTGGAGGAATCTTCAGCTGTAGATTTTCCATAGATCTCACCCTAAAACTCAGCTGTCTGCACTTGAAAATATCAAAAACCAAACACGGAAGAATCTGAACCTCGAGGTTGATTCAATAGTTGCTTGTAGTACACAATTGGTTTGATTGACTAGCTTGGCATTGCACAGGGTAGAGAAGATATGCGAATATATGTAGGTTGGCCCTTCAATCTGCACTCATTGGGTGCACCACTCAGAACCAACCAGTTCACAGAAGAAACTGCTCCTTGTTTTCGTGTGTGTGCTCAGCTTGAAGAATTGGTCGTATTCGCTTGTCCATCTCAAAATGACTCTTCCACTGGAATTCGAACCGGGTGGGGAAAATCTAACCCTTGGTATTTCCGCCCCTGCGAAAAATTCAAGGGTCGCATTCCGGTTCTTTGAACTGTTTACATTCCTGGTGCGATTCTAGTCAGGGATGGGATCAGTAGTGCAAAAGATCACCCTCTCAGCGAAATTTTGGTGCTTCTAGAGCAAAAACGTTGTGAACAGAGCACTTAACAAAACTTGCAACCTGTATGTTGGCATCGAACTTTACAGGCTTGTTGAACTGAATATGGCTAGAGGATTCCAATTCTTACGTACGTACACGAGCGCTCTCTCTTTCACACTCTCACACACACACTTATATATATACATATATATATATATATATATATATATATATATACGTACATATATAGAATTCTTTCCTTCCGTTACCACATGATTAACACAAAACATCTCATATTAGGTGTGAAAGACGCAACAACAAAACCATTTAAGGTTTGAGACAATTTTACTATATAATTTTTTCATAATATAGTTTCCTAACTTTTCTAACTTTAAACTGAAGAACATCTGTTATACGTACCATAACAAACGATAGGAATATTGCTGCGGATGCCGAAGGGAGAGAGCACCCTACTAGGAGAAACTGCTGACAACTTAAACATCATTAAATTTTCATGCATTAACCATAACAAGGGTTCGAAATGACGCATCCTCGCTGTGTACTACAAGGTTTAATAATGTCATTGACTATTCTCCACGGATTTGAACAAATCTTCACCAATTTCCTCCAATTTTTGGATTTGTTACAGCAACGCGACACAAGGCCTATCACACGGAGGAGAAGATTGGCCATAGAAATATCGTCAGAAATGTTCACGAGTGTAGGTTCAAGGCAGTGGAAGCGTGGAATAGCCGTAACAGCTTCTGACTGATTGTGTCCACTTCATGGTCCCTCCGCCGTGCTCCCCATGATTGGGTCCCTGCAACGGGTGGGCTTGGTCAGGCTAGGGTCAGGTTGCGATGCAGCTGAGCAGTTCGCGGTCAATCACGTCACAAAAGCTGCAGCGCTGTCATCCGGCGATGCCGATGCCGTCGACTGATAGCCATTGCAACACCCACCTTGTGGTTCGCGGCTTCACAGCTCATCAGCCTGAACCTGGTGCGTAACCCCCTCCTGGATGTGAGCTTCAGCATGGTGTCTCAAATCGCAGCTTCCAATCTTCCCTTTCAGTCCCCCGATTTCATGGCTTCTACTGCAGTCTAGTGCTGGACGCACGCGCCGTGTCGACGATGTGAGCGTTCATCTTCAGCTCCCGAGCAGCCACGCGACGATGCTTGTGGTGGCGTCGCGATGCTTCAAAGTGCCTGACTAGACTGTTTTTTGCATTCTAGTTGTGCTTGTTTTGTGTTTGTTCTTTCTGCGTTTTGGCAGACTGCATTGAATGATGGTCTACGGCGAAGACTGATGTGTCCTTTGCAAGGTTGCCGAGTGACCATGTTTATCAAAAAGTGCTTTTATGCACCGTTTAGCTCGTTTGTGGAGCGGCAGATGAGCAGTTTCCCACATGATCTCAGTTTTAGTTATAGGTTCGATGAATGAGAAGGCTCCATTTCTCATATTTCTTTCGAACTGCAGGAAAAACAAAACCACAAACAAACAAACAAACAAAATCGTAACCAAGACAAGAATAGACAAAAGAAATAACAAACAAAAACAAAAACACAATCATAGACAAAGTCTCTATCGTATGAATCTGCCTTTCAATAATAATGATAATAAAAAGGCTATAGTCAATGTGGAATAAGATATTATTGTGCCATTGTAGGGTTCACTACTAAATATGTCATTTTTCGCTAGATATTTGAGTAGAAAATACTACAATATGATAGGTTGATTTTTGTGTGTTTTGTAATTTGGAATACCAAATCATAAATTTGCAAATTGTGCATGTGCAAAGTTATTCAAATTTTGAATATTTAAAATTCAAATCTAGATCTAATCCTGAAGACAAGTGAGATTTTGTAAATTTATTAAGTCTGGTGTTAGTAATGATAATAGGCTCTTTAAGAAATTAACCTTTGTATTATAATGATAAATAGGCTCTTATTTTAATGCTAATTTATGTGATGTTTCAAATTATTGTGTAAATTATTGTGTTTTATTTTTTATTATTATTAATCTAGCAATTTTATCCTCAAAGCTCTATTAACTCCAAATTGATAAACTTTTGATTAGTAAGTAATTATAGAACCAAGTTCCAAATCAAAGGCACAACAAAGACATGTAAAGACTTTACATCAACAGACCCTTATAGTTCCGAAGACCATACTAATGGCTCTACAGGTCAATGTTTGGATTTTAGACCAAGCAATATTTGCTCTTTTTGTCTTGTCTTCTCTACTTTTACACCTGTTAATTTTGGTGGTTATTTTGGATGGAATATCTTTTTTGACCAGTGTAAAAACTAAAGTTAATAATAATATATTATAATATCTTTTTTAAATATAAATTCAATATAATTTAATATATATATATATATATATATATATAGCAATAGATCAGGCCATCAAAGGAAATGAAGGTTATCAAGAAAGGTCTTTCTAAACATCTAATGTTTTTTGAATTATAAGAAGAATTTTAGGCTTTAAAAAAATGTCGTCCTTAATTAGATGATTGATGCATTTCCAAGCTATAATTCACATAATATAATACTTTCTTTCAAATATTACAAATTTATTAGATACTGAAGCTAATTATGAGCCCAATCTATTATTGTGAGCTTTATGAAGTTAAAAACTCATTAATCTTATTTAGATGGCCAATTTATAATGATTTTATTCAAGGACACAATCCAATAGTTATGTTGGCTAAAATGAAGAAGAGTACTAATAAAACATTATAACTAGAATAAAGTGACAAAAGAATAGAAAAAAACTATAGCATTAAAATAAAAATCTAAAAATAGATAACTTAAAAGCTATAAGAGATTGTTGTTTGATATAGATTGTGTTTTTGCAAAAAGACAAAGTGCATACTGAAAAGAACACCAACAAAAGTCATTCAAGAAAACTAAGATTATTTTAGAATGTATAAGTAGAAGAAAAAAATATTAGATTTTTATTCATTATAAGGTGTCTTAATTCAAATAATAAGTTATGAAATACTAAAATTAAGTTTCAATCAAATTACAATATTAGAGTTAATATTTATTTATATTATGGTAAAAAAAGATAAAATGATATGAACAAGGTTAAAAGATCATCAAATATATAGTAATAGATGGTTGGATTAGTAGTATGATAAATAAGTGATATATTGATATTGAAATTAATTATAGAACTATAAATAATACAAGAACAAGCTAACAAAAGCTTTTAAATAAGAGGCAGTGCCAATTAATGCCTTGAAATTACACACTTAGATTTAAGACTTAAACATATTATAAGTAAGAAGTGGCAATAGGTAGGAAAGATAATTCATCAAATCTTATAACAATGCATGATAGAAATAAAAGTAATCCTAATTCTTTTAATGGAGACATGATTAAGATATAATATGGCTAAGAATTGACAAAAAACCTCTAAAGTTTTGTCTACACCAGACAATTAGGATACTTAACAAATACTTTAAATAAAAATTATATAAAATCAATAGAAATTGAGGATGTAAATCAATAGATTTAAATGATTAGGTTGAAATTTGTACAAAATTTACTATTAAAAAAGAAGAAAGAAAAAATTTAAAGTCACATTATATCAAGTCAAACTCATGCATGTTGATGTAAGTGTGACAAAAAATTTTATTTTTCAAAAAAATAAAAAAGAAGTATTACTTAAAATTTGTTTAGAATTAGTGATTTGGTTAAAAATCTTAATAAAAAAAAGTTAATTAAAGAATAATAATCAAAACTAAATTTATAATATTTATTTGATTTTTATTTATTAAATGATAGAAATAAAATTTAATTAATTCTTTGATGTTTTTAATGATATTATAAAAATTACATTATAATATTAATAAATATTTTATAATAATTTAAAAATAAAAAATAAAAATAAAAATTTAAATAATTAAAATTTATCTCAAGAATAATTTGATTATGTGATACAAGATTTGAGCCTCAAAAAGACTCATAAGTTGTGTGTAGAATTTTCTAGAAGGATCTTGAGGTTTTAGTCTTATACTCTTATCTACTTCTAAAGCACCACAATCCATATGAGACATATACCTACCCAAATTTTTATTAGTTGTTGCTTATACAATTTTTTCCTAATTTTATTTATTTATTTTATTTTTATTTTTTATTTCTCTATAAATGTGGCTTAATTATGATGTTTATTTATACTTGATTGCTCTAAAAAATCCCAAGATTTGCTCTAATTTTTCTCTAATTTTTTATAATAGCCTCTAAAAGTTGGTAAAATTATTATTTATTTAAACCTTTAAAATATTTTTA